ACACGCGTCAGACGACCAAGACGACGCGTAAAACAACGACCACCGTGGTCAGAAAGGCGCAGAAACCCCATCCCCAAGCTTCTCCCGTCCCTGAAGCGCCAGGATGGACTCCCAAGGCCACCCTCTTGAGTCCTACTCCCTCCGCTCCGTTGGCTACGAGAATATCTCAGCCCCCTCTGGCCCGTAATGCAAAATCTCTCAAGGGGATCAGCCTGGATCAACAGGAAAAATTGATCCTGTCTGACCTTTTAATGGTGTTGATGAACTTTGAAGGGGAATACATCGTATATTCTGATGCCTTCAATCCCACTGACCACGTCAATCGCTTTACCGGGCCTGCATTCAAGACCCCAGCAGGGCTGGACCCTAGTATAGGTCATCTCATCCAGCCTTTGCTCTCTCTCGCCTCGCAGTACTCTGCTCTGGAGGTCTATACCGATACCCTGTCTAGTGAGGAGTACGGATCCGTAAATCACGCCCTCTGTGCTGCCATTCGAAAGATCCTGAAAGACTACTTGATCCTGATCACTCAGCTCGAACATCAATATCTCACTAACAAGAGTTTTACCCTCAACCAGATGTCTTTACATCTGAAGCCTACCGCCCATACTCTTCGCATTCTCTATTCTTTAACCCAGGAAATATTAAAAGAAAACTCTCTCCTCGGAGACCTTGCAGAGGATGTTGATGATTCCGAAGACTTTGAAAACATTTTCAAGCTGATCCAACAAGGACGTGATGCTTCCTTGCCGGGGAAGAAGAGCTGCAAAGGCGGAGCAGTTCTGCGGCTCCTAACGCACCGACTACAGTCCTCTGCAGGAGACCCAGTATCCACTAAACTCCTATCCGACCTCCTCCAGCAGAGCTCCATCCCCTACATGCGGATGCTCAACGAATGGCTCCACCACGGCAACGTCGTAGACCCACACGCTGAATTCCTCATCAAAGAACAAAAATCCATCAAACGAGAAGGCCTACAGCAAGACTACACGGACGAATACTGGGAAAAACGATACACCCTCCGCAAGGAAGCCGTCCCACCCCAACTCGAAGCCGTCAAAGAACGCGTCCTCCTCGCCGGTAAATACCTCAATGTAGTGCGCGAGTGCGGCGGAATCGCCGCTACCAACACCGACGGCGAGGCCTCCAATACAAACAACTTCACCTCCAACCGCTCTCTCATCTCCAACGTCAACAGTGCCTATACCTTTGCCAACCGCTCTCTCATGCACCTACTCCTCACAACGCACCAACTCCCCGCCCGTCTCCGTTCTCTAAAACACTATTTCCTCCTCGACCGCTCAGATTTTTTCTCATACTTCCTCGACCTCTCCGCCTCTGAACTTAAAAAACCTTCCCGATCCGCTAACGAAAGCAAACTGCAAAGTCTCCTCGAAATCGTCCTCCGACAGCCTGGCAGCGTCGCAGCAGAGGATCCTTACAAGGAGGATGTAAAAGTCGCGATGGCGGACTCGGGGCTTATGGTCTGGTTAATGAGGATTGTGACCGTGCAGGGTATAATGGAGGGGGAGCAAGGGAATACTACTACCGCTGTGAACACAGCGAGTAATAACCCTACGGAGAAAGAGATTTCAGGCTACGAGGCGCTGACGCTGGATTATGCTGTTCCGTTTCCGCTTTCGCTGATTATATCAAGGAATACGCTTACGCGGTACCAGGTCCTGTTTCGGTATCTGTTGAGTTTGAGACATCTGGAAACCCAGCTCACGCACGCATGGACGGAACATTGCATGGCGGGGCCTTGGGTGCGGAGCGCCAGTGGGAGACATACTATAGGGAAGGGTGGCGGCGGAGCGAGCAACACAGCCATAACGGGCGGAACATCACCAACCCAACCCCGTCCCTCATCGCGCCACGGAGGGATTCCCACACGCGGAAGCATCTCTACCCCCCCCCGGTCCTTGGAAACCTGGAAGAGAAAAGCATGGTGTCTCCGCGCAAGGATGCTCTGTTTCGTACAACAACTGCTATACTACTGCACCAGCGAAGTCATCGAGCCGCATTGGAACAGATTCATGGAGAGACTGCAATCTGAGAAGACTGTGGATGAATTAATGCAGGATCATGTTGACTTTCTAGCGACGTGTCTGAAGGAGTGTATGCTTACTAATCATAAGCTTTTGAGGGTGAGTCTACCATCACCTCGGTGGGATGAAAGAGAGAGAAGGGGAGGAGAGGAAGGGGGGGAGAGGGTGTTGAGACTTGCACAGCGTAAAGGTTGGGTTTGGTGAGAGGATGGACCACCACATCTTTTTGCTGCGAGACTGAGCTTTTGAAAGTATGAAGCTCTATCCCCACCCCTCCTCTTTACCTTCACCCCTTCTCTCACCCCCTCCCTCGTTTGTTCTTTTCTTTATTTTTTTCGCTAAACCCACTTTCCCCCCCACCTATACCCTCCCATACTAACTCATTTATAGATAAACTCAAAAGTCCTACAAACCTGTTCCATGTTCGCCTCCTACACCTCTTCCCTATCGCGCTACCTCGCTGCGCTCGAAACGGATGACTCGTCCCAGCCGGAGAAGATCTCAAAACTGTTCACCATTCTTGCGCAGTATGAGGAGCATTTTTCTAGGCATTTGAAGATTTTACTCGATGCGTTAAATTATCTCGCCGCCACGGAGACAGCGGTTTTTCTTGGGTTGTGTGCGCGTTTAAGTATGGCTGAGGAGGAGGGGGGGAAGAGAGGGGGGATTTAAGGAGCGTGATATGTGGGGTTGGGAGAGGGGAGGTGTTTTGGGAGAGATAACTCTGAGGAGGGAGATTGTTCCCCGGGATAGAGGGTAGATGTATGATTACGAGGTTTATGCGACGTTTCTTTTCGGTGGAATTTCCGGTGGGGTTAGAGGAGGGGTGAGAGTTTAGAGTTCGTTAACCGTGTCCAAGCGTGAAAACCCCACCAGCTATACTGTGCCACTGTGCGCACACGAGAAGCCCATTCTCAAGGCCCCAGAGAGTATCAGCGCGAGTGACAGGCGAAAATTCGTTGAGAGGTCTGCGGCAACCAGTTCCCAATTAGACATCGGAACGACAGAAGTCGAGATGAGCACCTACGACTGCTGGATCCTTTTTGGAATGAAGAAACGCCCGCGGACGCGACCACTACGAAATTGTAGCGATACGGGAACCGGCCGTCCTTTGACGACTCTCCCACGCGTGGTGGCGCCTACTATTCGTAGATCTTGATCTGGACATAAGAAAGTCTGGCGGAGGCCAAGGTACCGAATCTCCATTCAGAGGTTGGTCACTCGAAGAATACAATTTCTTTCGGTAAGATTCGCCATCCGGTGACAGGTTGGTAACTCGAAAAATGAGGAGCGGATACAGAATTCATCGTCTCTGACAAGGGAAATGTGACCAAACTGCCGTAGGACGGAAAGCTCGTCGGCGGCGAGTTGTAACTGCTCCTCAGCATGCCTTGCATCGTCGTCCAGGTACTCCTCGAAGTCCGGCCCAGTTGCCCGTCGCTTGCCACGCGCAGCTGGATCAGAAGCGCGATCGGCACGAGTGCCAGAGACAGATGAAGTCCTTCAACAAATTTTCACAACTCATGGTATACAGAGTACAGGACGCCCAAACCCAATGGAAAACTTCATGGATGGTGCTCATGGGGCAACAGAAGAACGCTCTAACTTGACGGTACGCAGCGCCAGTTGCGCAGATGTAGAGAGGCCTGGCAGGCGTGGTCGGCGTGGAAACACACGCCAGCCAAAATTTAACACTGGCGATGCACGAGTTTCCACAGCATACAGTATATGCCAGAATTTATTCAGGTCGCATATCGCTTCTTTCCTTTCATGGATGCTGTCAGTGAATCTTTCGCCTGAATTCGTGTCCTGTTGCGTTTCTTCAGATGGCAGACTTGAAGGTCTCTACTCCTCGCAATGCCATTCAGCGGTATATACAGCGACAGCGACAAACGACCCGCGAGCATCACAGTTTCATTCTGCGATATTCTAGAAGAATGATGGTTTTTTCGATCTCATCGGCCAGACACTTGAGAAAGCGTCTCGATGGTATTGTCTTCTACAACAAAGTGAGGTCGGAAGAAGCAATAGGGGTATCTGTCCTGATCTGTAATCGTTCGTCAGGGGACCCCAACGCATCTCCATGGTTAATTCCCAGGTTGGGGGCAAATGGCTCCAATACGGAAAGAATAGACTCTTCTTCGTAAGCTTTGCATAGAGCGTGGCCATAAATGCATTTGAGATGGTCTGAAGATAGTGGCGTCCGCAGCGATTCTATGATGGAGGCGGCCTTCATGGTGCAGGGCATCTGAACATAGTGTGCCTGGGCACAGCGGCGGGGGGAGGTGGGAAATTTGCGCTGTATTGGTACCATGTGCGAGTGCACGGCGCTGTTGTGAGGCTTTGACGTAAAAGATTTTCACCAAAAAGGCCGGTCGAATATCTTAGGCACATTCTCAGTATTGCACGATGTCAGCAGGTCGAAATATTGCTGCGAGTTCTTTGATCGTACCACTGGGTGGATAATTGCATACATACATTTGCGAGACTTCTCAGAGAATGTTCCTAATACAAGGCCTCAAAGGAAGGAAAATCAAACTCGCTTGCATGGCATCTTATTTAAAGTGACCTTATTGAACGTAATTCGCGAGGCAGGCGCGTGGGAACACGGTCGACCTCGCTGAACACGATCTGTTGAACAAAATTCTTCATGTTGCTCAGATTGAGAGCGTAGTTCCTAGTGACAAGACTTTCAACGGTATAAAATTCAAATATTTTGGCCTGAAGCATCAAGTTGTCACCCACTATGCCCGTCCGATTTGGTCACCACATCACGCCTGAAGCCAGAGAGCTTCAAAAAATCATATTCTAATCCTAACAGCCTTGGTAGGTGGATGGCTGTCTCATGTAATAGAATTTTGTAAAGCTATAAAAGTTTGAGTCCTTCCGAAAAATAGTGTTTTGGATTTTAGCCAAGAGATTTGCTACAGTAGAAAAATTAAAAAAATGCTGTGCCCCCGTACGGAGTCGAACCGTAGACCTCGGCATGGCATAAGCGAGTATACGAGTGCCGCGCTCTACCAACTGAGCTACAAGGGCATTGATATTGGTAACAGTAAGATATTTGTATATATTCCCATGACTAGACGGGGTACTTGGCTTTTATCGATGGAAAAAGACATTCCAATGAATGTTGTGGTGAGCAATGGTAGTTTGGTGTTTCATATGCTGGTTGCAAGGCTTTATCGCGACAATAGTGATAATCAGTGTTATATCAAGGCGAAAGCGGCCGCGAAGGGCCACCTGCGATCGTGCCGCCACATCAGTCTGTCGTCATCTGAAGAAAAAGATCAGGATACTATAGAGTCTTCGCAAGGCCGTCGAATCTGCTATGAGGCCGTGGCTTCCATGTGGGTCACAGGTTGGGTAAGGCCAAACTCAATTAAAGGGCTGGTCAGTATAGGTCGGCACATTTATCGACATGAGAGCCCGAGATTTCGTAAGGGATAAAACTAGTCCTTGGTCAAAGCAATGTCTCTGAACGTTTGTGCAGGTCGATTTGGTCCAGCAATTTGGTCGTTCTTGCTTTAGTTCTTGTTGGCAATCTGGTCAAAGCACTGCCCAAGGTGAGTTGACCAAATACGACTTGATCCTATCACCTACTGTAGCATCAGCCAAACCAAGGCGTCCATGATACAATGTTGAGGAACAATTCAGCACCAGTATGTCACAGTATGATTTTGAAATCAGTTTTTATCCGAAACCTCTTATCGGGCTCGGTTGAAGAGCAATGTTAGGCTACACATTTCAAATCGTCACAGTGAGTATTGAGTCTCAGCGGTTGATCCCATGGCAATGTGAAGAAAAACTGGCGGCGTATATACTTGGTATTTCGTTGTAACTGATAAGCATGGCCACAAGGAGCAAGTTTATCATATGGTGCGTAGCCTAATGGGCATGATGAACACATGAAGTCGTCAGCGTCATAACAATTTAGAATGTTCTCGAATAAACGCCGCTAACAGCTGCATACACCGGCTCCGTTACGAGTAAAGTTTAGGTAATAGAAAAGGAGGTTCTAAGGAGGGTGAATAGCGACCTGCCTGGTGTTTGAGGAGTGGGAGTGCTGCTTGAAGTCCTGGGTAGAGAAGTTGACAGAACTTGCCAAAGAGTATCATGAAAAAGACGGCCACGCATTGATTGGTGAGACAGGAAGAGATCTTGAGCTGCGTTGTTGGCACCCAGATGTCATTCTCGCGGAACATGAGGTAGTTCTAACTTGCAGTGTCAACTCATGAGACCACGGGACACAACTTCTCTTCGTCTAATTTCGTTATACAAGCCTGCGCCCCTAACACGACGGGTCATTGATCACACAGGGCCTCTCAGCCACAGGGTAACTGCTCGAGGGCGGATTCTTCTGACACAGTTTCATTGAATATTACTACATGGATGATGTTGTCGTCCAAGTGAATCGAGCCGGTTCAAGCTGAGCAGGCGCCATCGCTTCCCATCCTCGTGACAAACGTTCTCTTAAAGGAATACGACATCTTAAGCTACTGTATTGCGCCCTCAATCTTCATTAATTGCAGTACAAGAACACCCGTCGAGGGGCCGGTGGGAATATTGCAAACGGCAAATTCCGACCCCGCAACGGCAAACGATTCCGGTAGAGTGGAACACCGTGTAGCTAACGGATCGGGCCGATGTTATTCCCTGTACGTCCCGATCCGACCCCACGAAATGTCTCGTCAGCATCCAGGCTCTGTAGAGCAACGACAAATCACAAAGATGACTACAGATTTCCCAATGGAGAGAAAGCGCAAGCGCCCCATCAAAACATCGCGCGTCTCCACGCCAGATGCCTTTGCCCGGCGGTCACCACCGCAGCAATCCCAACGATCATCACGCAACTCGGCTGACGAAGGCAAACCCCCAGAACGCAAGTTCAAGCGCCCAAGCGCTCTGAAACGCACGCCAGCACCACGGCCGATAGAACCAACACCAAAAGCCGCCACCGGAGCTGCGGGCCAAAAGTCCGTTGCAGACCACTACAACTGCATGCCAGAGCGCGGTCGGGCATGGCGCCACGCAGGCAGCACGATACCCGGCCTTCGCAACTTCAACAACTGGGTCAAAAGCACCTTGATCACCAAATTCGCCATGCCGCCGTGGCTTATGCCCGACAGCGGCGTCTTCCCACCCGGCACCAAGCTGCGCGTACTGGACATGGCGTGCGGCAAAGGCGGCGACCTGGGTAAATGGGAGAAGTCATCTACATCGCTACGTGTGCATGTCCACTACGTTGGTTGCGACATCGCCGAGGTATCCATCCAACAAGCCCAGGCCCGCTACTTGGAAGCTCGTAACTCGAGACGGCACTATCAGCACATGACTGTCGAGTTCTACCACAAAGATAGCTTCGGCAAGTCCCTAAACGACCTCCCTGTGATCCGTACCGTGGGTTTCGACCCCCACGTCGGCCCCAACACCCGCCCTGTCACCGCGCTCGGTAATCCCGGAATCGGCTACGGCGGGTTCGATGTCGTAAGCTGTATGTTCGCCCTACATTACTCTTTCGTCGATGAAGATCACGCACGCGGCATGCTAGCCAACGTTGCAGGCTCTCTCCGTAAGGGGGGAAGGTTCATCGGCACCGTCCCCTCGTCGGATTTTATTAGGCAGAAAATCACGGGGAGGAAAGACCCAAAGGGACCCTGGAATCCTGAGGTCTTCAGCCCGGATATCACGGATGAGAATGGGAATCTCCTGCCTTGTTTTGTGAAGAAGAGGAAGACTTCTGATTCTCCGCCTGAGGAGGAGCAACACGAAGAAGAGGAAATGGAGCCGATTTCTTGGGGAAACTCGTGCTATAGAGTTACCTACCCGCCTCCAATGGGACCGAGACAGGGTAGCGCGGAAACTGCAAAAACGGAAAACGATCCCCCCAAGAGAGAGGAGGCTGCGCAAGCGGATGATCCGCCGAAGCCAAAGAAACGACGCTTGAAACTCCCACTTTTCCGGCCCCCGTTTGGACATGCATACCATTATTACATGCCAGAGGCGGTCGATGCGATTGAATATGTTGTTCCCTGGCCGGCATTTCGCTCGCTAGCGCTGCAATATGGGCTTGATTTGCAGTATCAGAAGGATTTTCTGGATATTTGGAAGCAGGAGGGCGGGTATAGGGACCTGGAGATTCTTGCTGAGAGGATGGGGGTTGTTGAGAGGAAAGGGAGGGATAGAGGAGAGAGGGGTGGGGATAGGGATAGGGATCGAGGGGATAGAGAGAGGAGGGATGCGGAGGGAAAGGATGCGGAGGGTGAAGACAAGGCGAGGGAAGCAGAGGAGAGGGGGTTGTTGGTCTCCGATGAGGAGCTGGAGGCTGCTTCGTTCTACAAAGCTTTTTGTTTTGTTAGGATTTAGATTCTACTGGGGCCCATTGGTATACGGTGTATCATCTACCATTGCACATCAGATTGCATGGACAAGTGGATATTTAGACGTTATTATAACATCTGAAAGACTTAGCCAAAACATCTTCGAGACTAAGCCCATTTTTATCCAAATGCCTAACCATACGCTGAAGCAGAGCAGGTAAAAGCTCCACGTACAGATCCGCTCCTATATGACTCCAAGATATCGGCAATGGACGCATAAGTGCCGCAAACGAGGACAATCATGCCCACGAGGAAGATGACTGCGTTCAGCAGTGAGAGTACAATGTTCTTAGTACCTTGGTACCACTTGCCCTGTTTGACCAGGCAGAACCAAAACAGGGCGGGGAAGTAAAAGGTGAAGCCACTGATAAAGAGCGACGAGATGATGCCGAGCAAGTCGTTAAAGATGGGAATCGCCTCGGCAACGACCCAGCCAATGAGCGTTGCGACGGCCAGAAGGAATATCCACCACGCCCAGCCTTGTGCCGTGTTGATATATTTGACCTTCTCGTTGTTGGCAAACACCTTGGAGATGAAATACCGACACGCCACCGTTCCGTTGATGCTACCGCTGATGAAAATGACGGGCAGCGCAATGCCAAACACTACACGCGACATGGTGTGGCCTGCAGAAAGTAGCGCCGGGCTCTTGACGTCCTGACCGACAAATGCGTAGACAAGTGCGCCGGTAAGAGTGTAGATGACCATCTCGGTAAGTCCCAGGGCCCAGATCGACTTGACATAATCTTTGGGCGTGTGGAGCTCGGCCATAAAGCTGAACTGGCACACAGCAAACGAGTAGGCAAAGACTACATTAGTGACGGCCAAGAAGGCCGAGGAAAAAGTAATATCGTCAGGCGGCCACATGCTCCAGTTGACGGCCGACATGCCGCCAGCCTGCTTCGATGCCTGCACACCGGTGGCGACAATCGTGCACATGATTGCAATGCAGATGGATGCAAAATCAATATATCCAAGAATGGCGAATTCGGTAAAAGTCGGCGGGATGGCGAGGAGGAAGAGCAAAACGGCCGACAAGATGCCCCAAGCGAGAGCGCAGACATCGGTTTTCTCCGTGAGCCGAATCCACGCAATCGTTCCCGTTAAGCTGTGGGAGCCGACGACAAGTATCAAGAAGAGGACAAACATGACGCTGGTAAGCATATAACCTGGTCGCCCCCAGATGAGCGCAACCGCATCGGCATAATCCTTGATGTGCGGGTGGCGCATGTAAACCTGGCCAACGACATAGCTGGTATAGATGGCGATGAGGCCGATGAAGACGGATAGAAGAACGCCGGGAACCATGCCCAGCTTCGCAAAGGTGGCCGGCATACCGAGCGACCCGAGGGCGATGGCCTCGACAATGAGACACACCGTCAACCGGATCCATCCCAACTTGTGAAATTTGGTCTCGCCTTGGTCAACGAGTGACTGACGTCGTATGGAATCTCTGTCCATTTCTGGCTTTTCCGCCCCTTCCAAGCCATAAGGTGGCTGCATGTTTTTCTCCATGGCTGCGAATGCGCAGATGCGTTGGAAAGACGCAAAGACGCGCCAGAGAAAAAGGACGAGAGAGATGAAGGAGGCGAGGGAGAAGGGAAAGCAGAATGAGTTAATCAGTTTCGCAATGCCAAGCGCAGAAAGGCCGGTGCCGGC